AGACTGTTGCCGGAGGGTTCTCCCTCTCCTCGGGACGTCCCCGGACTGTCTCCGCCCGCCGCCCCTCCGACGAGGCGTCCCCAGACTGTTGCCGGAGGGTTCTCCCTCTCCTCGGGACGTCCCCGGACTGTCTCCGCCCGCCGCCCCTCCGACGAGGCGTCCCCAGACTGTTGCCCGGCGTGCGGCTGTGATCGCAGCCGTCTGCGTTCCCAGGCTGGTGAACGAGGGCACGACGCTGCAGTTCGTGCACCGGACCGAGGTGGAAGACGTGCCAACGGCCATCTGCCCGTATCAGGGCCGTGCGCTCATCAGCGTCGGCAAACTGCTGCGCATCTACGACCTGGGCAAGAAAAAGATGCTCAGAAAGTGCGAAAACAAGGTAACGGCTTCGACGGCGCCGCGGCAGTGAAAAGCTGTCCGTTGTGGTATGATGTTCGCACCGTGTTTCACCTGAGGTACCCACCGCTGATTAAGATCTCGCGCTGACTCGGTCGTGACCGCCCCGTCCACAGCACCCCAGAGACCCAGCTGACGGCCCCCCTGCTCCGCCGCAGAGCATCCCGAACCACATCGTCAGCATCCAGGCGCTGGGTCAGCGCGTGTACGTGGCGGACGTGCAGGAGTCCGTGTTTTTCGTGCGCTACAAGCGCCAGGAAAACCAGCTGATCCTGTTCGCCGACGACACGAACCACCGCTGGGTGACGGCCACCTGTCTGCTCGACTACGACACGGTGGCGGCGGCGGACAAGTTCGGGAACGTGGCCGTGGTGAGGGAGCGCGCCCCGTCTCGTGCAGCGCGCCGCGCGGCGGCCATTACAGGGTCGTGGGGCAGCTTAGCGCGTTCACGGTCCAGCTGGGTCCAGGGGGATTTGGACGCCCGAGTAAATTGCAGCTGGCGGTGTTGAGTTTTGTCTGTTGTCCTGTATGACTTCATTGGTATGCGTGGCCCACCTGACGCCCCGATACCGCCCGCCAGCTGCGTCTGCCCACCGGCACCAACGACGACGTGGACGAGGACCCGACAGGCAACAAGGCGCTGTGGGACCGCGGTCTGCTGGGCGGTGCCTCGCAAAAGGCCGACGTCCTCTGCCAGTTCCACATCGGCGAGACGGTGCTCTCGCTGCAGGTGAGTGCCCGCCGCTGCCGGCGCCGCCGCCGCCGCCGCCGCCGCTGTGTCGGCTGCCGCGCGTCATGTCCGCCACCTTCGTGTTCCGTCTGCCTCGTCCGGCCGGCTGACTCGCGCTCTGTCGACGCCGGCAGAGGGCGACGCTGATCCCGGGCGGCAGCGAGTCTCTCGTGTACACCACCATCTCAGGCACGATCGGCGTACTGGTGCCGTTCACTTCGCACGAGGACATGGACTTCTTCCAGCACCTGGAGATGCACATGCGCTCGGAGAACGCGCCGCTGTGCGGCCGCGACCACCTCTCATTCCGCAGCTACTACTTCCCCGTCAAGGTGAGCCGCGGCCGGGGCACGCCGTGGGGGAATGGGAGGGGAGAGGGTAGTTAAATGCGAGAGGCTAGTTAAATGCAGTATAATTGGTAAGGGTTCCCAGTAATTCTTGCTGTCACTTGTTGTGCATCCGGCTCAAGGATATTTACACTGACGGTCAGATGTACGCCGCAATTTAGTTGTGTGCATGAGGCAACTGCAAATAAGATGGTGACACTTTAAGTTCAAAAAAGGTTTTTGATAGACCGAATGAATCCCTAAAATACTCCTTTCATTAGCATGCTCAGTTCATCCGCGTCCAGCATGCTACGGCGGCGCGCATGATGGCTCTTCGTAAGGGTGACATTTGTTGAAGTGCGTCCATAGTTCTGGTGTGTAGGAGATACTAATTTCATATGCCACTGGTAAGTCATAATCCAATTATTCAACAACATGTTGGACCTTAACTGCCATCTCTGCTTCCAGAACGTGCTGGACGGCGACATGTGCGAACAGTACAACACAATCGACATGGCCAAGCAGAAGTCGATCGCCGAAGACCTGGACCGCACCTCGAGCGAAGTGTCCAAGAAGCTTGAGGACATCCGGACCCGCTACGCTTTCTAAGTGGCGGCGTCTGTCCCGTCGATGGTGTCCGGGGTGTTTGTGGCGGCAGATATCCCAGCTTGCGGTGGTCGAGGATGTGCTGGCTTTTCGTGCGGAGCGCGCGTACATGTCTGGCTGCTGGCGTTGCTGCCGTCCAGTGAGGACGCGTTGCAACGCTGCACTTCGCCGTCGCGCTGCCAGCAAGCGGTGATCCGACCGAGCAAACGTGTCACAGTCTTATAGAGGCCGCGCGTGTCTCTGTCATGTATCATATTTCACGAAACGCGTAATAATGATGTCATGTACCATTGCCTGGATTTGTTGTCGACCCGAAGGGACAGACCTCACCGGCGGCGCTGCGAAGGGTTGGCCAATCCAGAAATCATCTCGTCAGGTATGTCATTGTTTTCTTCTTATTCCTCCATTCACTTTCCCAGGATTTCCATGTGAAAGCAACGTAGTGCGGATTTGTCCTCACCTCCGCTTGAATGCCACTTCCTTTTTCGGAAACGAGAGATCCAGTTATGTTCAGCTATTCTTTACTCTAGTATCTGGGGGTATCGCCCAGCAGAGCCCGTGGAAGGCGACGCTGCAGTTTGTGCACCAGATGAAGCTGATCGAGCAGTATCCTGGCGGTCATTCGCCCATGCCACGGCCGATCCCCTCCTGCCAGACCGCTGCGCGACCACTCGCAGAAGATGCCCACGAAATGCAAGAGCTTTGTCTCCATATCGGTCTAAACAGGTGATTACGACTGATGGTACGACGTGCTTGTCATTCGGTCTTTGGGTGTAGCTGTACTGTGATTTATAATGGCATGTAATTATGGCACCATATGAGCTAGTTACTGTCGTGTGGTGCGGTATGATGTTCGCACCGTGTTTCACCTGAGGTACCCACCACTGATTAAGGCCTCGCGCTGACCTGTAACTGCCTGCCCCCGTCTGCGGTGTTCTTGTAACCCCAACTGAAGGGGCCGACCTTTACTCTGCCGCAGTGTTGTGATGTACACCATCAGCATCCAGGACGCGCACGTGAGCATCCTGAACGTCAAGCGAAAACTCACGAAATGCAAGAGCTTTGTCTTCATATTGATCTAAACAGGTAATTACGACTGATGGTACGACGTGCTTGTCATTTGGTCTTTGGGTGCAGCTGTACCGTGATTATGGCACCATATGGGCTAGTTATTGTGTGCAGTACGGTATGATGTTCGCACCGTGTTTCACCTGAGGTACCCACCACTGATTAAGACCTCGCGCTGACATGTAACTGCCTGCCCCTGTCTGCGGTGTCCTTGTAACCCCAACTGAAGGGCCGACCTTTACTCTGCCGCAGTGTTGTGATGTACACCATCAGCATCCAGGACGAGCACGTGGTCATCCCGAACGTCAAGCGAGAGCAAGAAGAATCCGCGGAATAACGTGAAATGCTGGACAATGAAACAAAGTGCATTCTCAAGGAACTGGAGAATCCCAGAGCCTGAAATTCGCAACATGCTTCATATAGGTAAGTCTGACCCCCCAAATGTCCGCGTGGTCACTCACTCCCAGTACGAGTCGACCTGGTCACCTTTCTGAGCACGTCATTTGAGGCTGCTCACCAGAGTTGTGCAGTACGGTATGATGTTCGCACCGTGTTTCACCTGAGGTACCCACCACTGATTAAGATCTCGCGCTGACCTGTAACTGGCCGCCCCCGTCTGCAATGCCCTTGTAACCCCAACTGAAGGAGCCGATCCTTACTCTGCTGCAGTGCTGTGATGTACATCATCAGCATCCAGGACGCGCACGTGATCTTCCTGAACGTCAAGCGAAATCAACAATCCGTGGAATAATGGAAAACGCGGCACGGTGGTGTGCTATATCAAGAAGCTGGAGAACACCAGAGCCTGAAATTCGCGGCGCGCCGTCTGTAGGTAGGTCCGACTCCCCAAATGTCTGGCGATCAATTACTCACGCCATTCGGGACTGCTTCTCTCGGATTGTGACGTATGACATGATGTTCGCACCGTGTTTCACCTGAGGTACCCACCACTGATTAATGCTTCGCGCTGACCCGCCAGTAACTGCCCCATTGGCACCTCCTCTGGAACTCAACTGACCGCATCCACCCCTGCCCTGCCGCAGGGCATGCAACTGCAGAACCATGTCGCCGCCATCCAGGACGGTCATGGACTACCGAAGTTTCCAACATCGAGCGACACCTTCCAGACACCTGGAAATATGCATGCTCGCTTCACACCTTACGTGGAGCTCCTCTATCCTTAATACGGTCTGATGCTTGGTACTTGATACTGATTCCTATCTGTGCGAGTGCGGTGTTGGTTGGCCCGCGGCGCGTGCATCGTGGCATGGCGCTATTACCTCACCTTAAGCCCCGAGAGTGTTGAGACGATGTAATGGCGCCGAGCGTCGTGTACTGAGTGCGGCTGGGGCGATTGCTGTAAATGCATATTAAAGATTGCAGCCATGCGGTGCAAGTATATTTCAAAAATACAATAAATGTCTGCTGTAGTTCGGCATTCTCTGCCATGAATAACGGCTGATGAGACCAATAGACCATGGCCGACCATCAACGCGAGAGAACGGTCGCGCTGACCAGCAGCCCCGGCGCGCGCTACGTCGCGCAACGTGTGGCGATCCGGTTGACGACGGCCTCCCCGAGCGTGCCGACGGTCAGCTCGTGATCGGTGACATTTGCGTTGATTGGCAGCCCCGGTGCGCCCTACGTCGCACAGCGTGTGGCGATCCGGTTGACGACGGCCTCCTCGAGCGTGCCGACGGCCAGCTCGTGGTCGGTGACGCCGTACAGCTGGGCGACGGCGGCCGGGTCGGCCAGCGCCCCCAGCTGGTCGGGATGGACAGCTGTGCCATCCAGAGCCTCGTGCAAGGGCGCCAGCCTGGCCGCGTCCTCCACGGCCACAGCGGCCACCGTCGCGTCGTCGGCCGCCGCGCCCACGACCGAAACGCCTCAGATATCTGGTGGCAATGGTGCGATGTGATAATGGGGACTCGCTGCAGCTACGGCAGTGGGCTGGCGAATGAGCCGTTTAAGTTTGAATGAAAAATACAATTTTAGCATTTGCACACGGGTCCGCTCAGGGTGGCCGGTTCAGTGCAAGTTTTCAGGGTGGGGATTGATTGCTGAAATCAAAATTGATCACTAGGATGCATTAGCGTACTGCAGGCAGAGAAAATGCAAAAACCAACCTGTTTTCCTGGGGACAGAGAGAATATTATCTCTGAGTTGACATTCCTTGTTTTCAGTGAGCCATCTGCCTGGTTGTGCAGGGCTATGTTGGCTGCCACCAGAAGTTGAAATGAAGAAACTATCTGTAAATTTACATTTTTATGAAACATCTCTTTGATCGGCACATTGTACGGCATGTCCCGCACACCACCAGGGATGCAGGCAACTGCAGTTGTAACAACAGGGTTACAGGCTACTGGTGATGCAGTTCTATTTCACATTTCCATTGTCCTTAATGGCCTCATTAATATGCGCACAGGTGGCCGGTTGGATGCACCACTTGAGCGGGGTCAATTTGACCCCTCTGAGATTTCAAAGACCATATTGATAAGGACACCAAATTCACAGGGTGGGTTCGCCTGTCCGTGAACTCATTAGTGTCAAGGTTTGACATTCCTAGATTACTACCTTGAGGTTGAATGGGGTCAACCAATGTCAAACTTCAAATTGGTGTCTGAAGTGCCCCTTGACTTCATGCGAGTGCTGTGAAGCCAGATACATGTTCTAGGCAAAAGGTCAATGGTGTTCAATGAAGGTCAGTGACCTTGTTTGACCTTAATAACATCAAGGTGCCTCAACACCTTCTACATTGCTCCTATTTTGTCGCCTGAATAAGCAATGTGAACTATGCTAAGCAGCATGTTGCCAGAGACAAAATGTTGACCCACATCATTTAAGGTCAGTGACCTATTTTGACCTTAAAAAGTTCATGGAACATGTCTATTGCAGTCCTTGCCATTCACAAATTTGAAATGAGCACTGTAACTACCCCATAAATAAAGCTCTCAAGTAAAAAAGAACAGCAGTTTTGACCTTCATTCAGCCTTTGTACTTGACACCAAGTAAATGGAATTGGTTGTAATCCTAAATTTAATTGGTTTATTGCCTAAGAACCTTTCTCACATATGCCTGGCTTTGTCTGACACTGTTGTCACATCACATTGAGTGATTCCCTAGAAATGCCCTATGCTGCTAGCCATGGCCTGCCCTTGGTTTGCCATAGGTCATTAACCTCACAAGGTGCATCTCCTTTTTACATCGAAAGATGTCTTTCAGTCAGCAGCTACGTTAAGTTTGGTGCTGTTATCCTGCACTGTTCAGAAATCATTCTGAAAACACCCTCAGAGGGAGAAAGGAATTTGATTCCCCACCCAGCCCATTAATATAAACTATATACTTCTGAGTTATTATGAGGGTCATCAGCTACCCATGCTGCCTTAGTTCAGAGGACAGGAAGTTTTAATGGGCCACTTCTGAATTAGACATCACTGTAGCATGCCAGTGATACAGAATGCACAACCACTGACAATGTGAAGTAAAAATATAGCTATGTAGCTAGATACAAAAACACAAAGGTAGCAGCAAGTATAGTTAATCTACAAAGCTTGGGCCTAAACATAAGCACAGCTAAACCTAAATAAAGAAATGTGATTAAACCTACAGATGGATAAAGGTTCAGCTACACATACATCTAGCTACAGGTCATCAATGAACAAGATGGGGTGATATCTATGAGGACTGACAATCTTGGAACAACTAGCTAAAAATCCTCCTTTATGTAGCTAATGACAGATTTTCATACTAAGCAAGGCTCAACTGCTGATAGCACACTTACTTTCTTTTGAATGGATTAACAACTTAACCATTTCAAATTCCTACAGATTTATGATAAGAAAAAGCAGTCAATGTTACCCTTATTGTTATATATTAAACCATGTGAAAAAGGGTAAATTGGTGCAACACCAGACAATTATCTTGCATGCATGGCGAGCAAGTGCAAACGACTGAGTCGACTTTGTTCCCAGGAAAAATTAGACACATGCCCACACGTTTAAACTCTCATCAGAGCATACGTGTTTAGCAAAAACTACCACGTACTGACGTAACTTTACTCAATGTGTTGTGCTGCCTTGGAGAAATCGCGGCCCCGAACCACGGATACGTACCTTTTTTGCCGAAACCAACGCCACGTTTAAGCTCCCATTCATAAGCAAAGGCCGAAGTTCTTTGACATTCCTCACATCTTTATAAACAACAATGTAAACGGAAAATGACTTGTCCCCCACACCCAGTACGTGATACTCCATGGGGGCCGCCATTATATCCGTCAAGAAGTGCATTTGCAGGAAAACAACAAACAATTTGTACCATTTGATGACGTCATATACAATACTAAGGCCATATTTACATATAACTGACGTCAATGACTATGCTTGTTTGCCCTCAAGAAGATAAAAATACTTTTTGTATCAACTTTATGAGTGATTAGCAAAGATTTGGCTAATCATGTTTATAACGCCATGATTTTCTGGCTTTTCTGGTGCACACAACACACCGGTGACTTGCTTCGTTTCCACGACAACACCGAGTCGATTGCTCGGACTGCGGAGAGTGGGAAGGGGCGTTGGGGGCCTTCGGTTGGGGTGCGGACGGCTTGGTACCGTGCGGTTGGGTGCAATTAGTAGCGGCGCATTTGTTGTGATCCAATTAGGTGTTGTGAGCACTGTAACGCGCCGCACCAGGAGCTTTCACTAGCCCAAGCCCTCGTTCGTGATGGCCGAAAAGGAGCAGACGAAGGCTACTGAACAGAACTCATCAAACTCCGTTCCGAACCTAAAAATGTACAGGAACTTGCGACTTATGTAAGCAAGACGTGCTTCTCACGTTTTTCTATCAGATGTTGTGATGCATATAAGAAACGCCATTCAGTTTCCAGAAAGGCCTGTGTCTAGAAATTCTGCCGAACTTGGCCGAGGGCTGATTTTAGTGTAAGAGTGCTCTGGACTCACCTCACTGATGGCATGTGTCATGTGCTGGGGAAGGATTCTTGCAGACTGGCATGTCCATACGTTGGAACCTATTTTGCATGCTAAGGGCATAATTTGCAAAGTCATTGCAATGTTCAGGGATTGCTCCTTAAATAAGGAGAAATTGAGACTGCATGATTAGTGGTGCAACTCCTTATATCCATGCACCAAGTTGTACATTTGGCTGGTTGCCTTGATACACACATTTTGAAATTGATATCTTCTCACCAGGCAGTTATATCAGGAAGAGTGATGGGATGCCACCACCAAATCTTGGCATTGGAAAAAGTGGTTTCAAAAAGTCAAAAAGGATTAAATTCTGTCCTGATGGCTCAATTGGTTGGAGTGCCTGCCTTCCAATCCACCCACCCCTGGCAGGGTGGGTTTGAGTCGCCTTAGGCGCTTGCCATTTGGCCTTGACAAGCATGGCCTGTGGCATGGAAGGGGTTGTGCTAAAGGTCAGTTGATGTCCCGCAGGACAGACCATGCCAAGCATTGCGGCACATAAAACTTTTGCCACTAAATTCTGCCGTTGCCTGGACTTGTGGAATCAAATGGTAGTGGTGAGGCTCACACAACAAGCACTGATTGGCCTTAGCTCTGATCCCAGAAATCCATCCATTCAAAAGGGTTCAGGTCAAATCTTAAGAAAAAGTAAAGAAAAAAGTCAAATGGTAAAAATTCTAAAGGGCAGCAAGCCAAGTGACAAAAAGTGAAATGTTATGCCAGAATGCTGAAAAGTCAAAAGATTAAAGTCAAGCATAAAGGTCTGTTAAATATAAAACATCATAGGGACAAAAATCAGGAGGGGCTTTGCCAAAAGACTTTCCCAATAATAGGCTTCAAGTCAGAATGAACCAGGTGCCAGGAGCCCTGAAGCAAATAAGGTTAAAAACCTGTTGATTATTTGGGATATTTTCCACCCTAATCCAGGGAACCCCATAATCTGTTGACAGCCAGGAGGCTCATGCATCTCATTCATGTTTGGGCTTGGCCTCCTCTACATGTCAGCATGGCCCTTTGTATGCTTGCAGGGACCCTTTTGTTGTAGGCATAGTCAGTGATTACGCAGGAGCGAGGGAGCAAGGGGCAGTAACCCACCCACATAACTGAGCTGGTAGACCTAAATTGTCATTTCTGGCCCTTTCTGCACCAAGAGGCTTTTTTGTCTGAAGGGCCTGAAACCACCTGTAAAGTTTTTCTGTAGCTAAAAATCCATGGCACCACTGGTATGAGGAATGTTCTGTTATGGCCATGGTTTTCTATAGTTTAAGGGATTTAAGTGGATAAGCTAAAATATATACCATCGCGAAAAGTCATCATGAGCTAAGACACCTATCCAGGGATGTGGTTTCCTATTCAGTTGGGGGAGCTGAGCCGCCCCCCCCCCCCCCTCCCCGCTCCCACCTTGGGCTTCAGTCCCCTAGACTTTAGGAAGAAAGTGGCCAAATCTGGGGTGAAACCTGTTGGCAGATTTAAAGGCAGGTTTGGTCATTTTTCAATGTTCAGCCCTCCCCTTCCAACCATTTCGAGAAACACATCCCTGCACTTCCATCACGCAACCGGACCTTTTTTTGCCGCAAAGCTGGGACTCGGCCTATGCACCTTCTGCGGAGTCACGAGCCGATAAATGTCTTATTTATTCCAACTGGCTGAGCGGGCGGACTCTTCATACCCCCCCCCCCCCCCCCCTCTTAGTCCCTCCCGTGAATGCCTGACCAGAGGCTCTCGCTGTGTTTTAAAGCCCTGTTTAATCAAGGGAAGTGATTTTTGTAGCCGTTCATGCTGTTGTCCATTTCGCGTTTATCCCTTTTGACTTTTTGTTATCCGACTTTCTGCTTTAGACTGTTATCGTTTTTGACTCCTATCCCTTTAAATGTTTGTTCGATTGGATTTTTGCCTTTGACTTTTACTGCGTTGGAAGTTTTGGCTGTTTAGCTTTCTTACATTTGACTTTCAACCTTTTGACTTCTATTTGGCTTCTTGTTCGTTTGACTTTTTTGGTTTGACTTTTTTGGTTTGGTTGGTTTTTTTGACGTTTGACTCTTTTGCGGTTGACTTTTATCCTGTTTGACTTCTTGCCTGTTAAATTTTTGTTTCTGACTTTTTGTTTATGATGTTGTGTCCTGTAACCAAAGCTATTTTGCTATGATTTCACCAAAACGTTGTACTACGGCTTTGACCCCTCCCATTTGGCATTCAGCCACAACAGCTCTTTTCGAGGTGCACTCTGGCTTTGGAAAAGGGAGTATCACATGTTCGATGTGACGCACTGATTTAAACTTTAGCCCGTGCGCTTCTCGGTAACAGGCCGTTGTCCGCTGGACTAATCACAGGCGGTCGTTTATCCGCGCCAGTCGAGATATGCACGCCGGCTGCCATGACGAGGGTGGCGCAACTGCAGGGAAGGAGCATAGTGCTGGTACAAAGCGTCGGCACATAATTTGGACTCAGAGATAATTAGAATTGATATCCTTGTTTATAGTAACGGTGTGCAGTAGCTCAACCCAGTGCTGGTATTAGACATGGCCAGTCCTGAGGTTTCATGGGAGAATGTTTTTAAATATGCCGTTCAGGTGGGACACTTTCTTTAGTGGGAAGTGAAGAAAATAACACCAAGTTGACAAGGGATAACTTAAGAGCAAAAATGACTTGTGGATGTCAGGTCATCACCAAATGTTACCTACGTCACACTCAGTTAAGCGCCGAGTACTAGATGTTAAGTAAAAGTGTTTGGGACTGATCTTTATACTTTCATAAAGTTATGAGGAACAGACAACTAGTTTTTTCGGGGAGAAGCAACTAAGACACAAAACAATGGTTGAAGGAAGTAGTAACTTGATAAACCTCATAATTGTGCGACCTTAGGTTGGATCGTGGGCTGAATATGACCATGGGACCATAGGACCATAGGATCATAGGATCATAGGTTAAGCACTTGTACTTTGGCATGCCTGATAGTCGGCCTTGGTTAGTGTGAAATTTGGTTGCTGCTGTTTCTGCAATCCTTTGGCTGTAATTTTCATGAATTCATAGGCAAAATACCCAAAATGATCAGCATACACAGCTGCTTTGTTTATTTGCATTTTACCTGAGGTCAGGACGTACATAGTACTTTCACGCCACCTCATTTCACCTGCCATCAACAGGCATTTCAAAAAGGTAGTGGGACTCTACTCCGTTCCCATGAGAGCAAGACACAATGTAACGAAAGAAACACAGATGACTCAATCATGCTTTGTATTGTCATGAGTCTTGACCCTAGGGAAAATACTTGTGAGTAAAAGCATCAAGATGGAAACCATGAACACGCCCATGATCCACAAGATCTATGTTGCGCTATTCCTGCCCAGAAGTGCAGGTATAGTTCTTAGGTGTTAGCTGTAACAAACGTTGTTGCCATTGAAGTGGCATTTGGTGTAGCAATATCCCACATTCTAGTGGCGCATTATGTTCATTAAATTCCATGAGTGAAGGCAATGCAAGTATTCGAAGGGTCCTTCAAAAATTTTAAACGTATTAACCTTATACGTATAAAACTATTGACGTGTTTGTGTCCACCTCCTTGGCAGGTGCAAAGCCTGCTGGAGAACATGCAGCAGCGCTTCCAGACTATGTCAGACAACATCATCAGCCGAATAGACGAGATGGGCGACCGGATTGACGAGCTGGAGAAGAGCGTGGCAGACGTGATGACTCAAGCCCAGACGGTGGACGACGGAGACAAGTAGTCCCACCCGGCGGCCCCCCAGTGGGTCTACGGCCGATCTCTGGCGCCCGACGGCGTGCGCGGGGCGCGGACACATGTCGGTGTTCAAAGCTTTCAGCCTTGGCTGGCCTGAGTTTGTGTTTGGTTGCTGTGCCGGTCGGCGCGCGCGGGAAGGCGAAGCGAGCGTCAGTCGATCGGCACCGCTGTCGTGAGCGCCGCCCGCTCCTGCGGCGGCCGGCCGCACGCCAGGCCCGTTTGGTGGGCCCCCGCGGGAGTGGTCGATACGCGATACTCGATAGTCGCGGCTCGCTGCTCTGCTAAGGCACATTGAAGAACGGGATGGGCTGCACCATTGATCACTGCCCGTCGACTCCCAGTCATCGTTTGATTGCATCCATCCCGCGCCCAGCACCGTTTTGGAAGGTCACGATGCTTGCAGCTGCCGCGGCAGCATAGTTGAGTTAGTTGGAGAAGAACAGCTACGACCAGCGCGTGGTTTTCATGGATCTGTCGCCACGCAGGTAGTTGGACCATTTGCTTTATGTTGCATTTTAGCTG